GGGCTAATATAGGCAGACTGGCTTTGGCACTTTGTGTGCATGTTGAAATCTCTAGTCATGGGGTAGCTACTGTCGACTGGTCACATAACCCACCTCTCTGTTGATGTTCCTTATTCCGTTAAAAGGGCGTGACCGTGTAAACAACTCTACCTACCTATTTACAGTAGTCTATCTAAACCTTACTAACGGGTTTGGTTTCTTTGCTCATGAGGGTTAGGGCCTCTAGCTTCTCTCTCTATGTCCCTGCGGGCAGGGGTGTATCACACTTTTGTAAGCTGGGTGACTCCCAAAGCAGCAAGGGTGGCTGACTCCGTTAGTCATTTCCTTGTCGGCGACGGCCGGAAGGTGTCTGAGCTGGTAGCACATCTGCGTTAGACAAAGAGGTTGCCTCTTAACTCATTTAAGTTGGTGCATTTCTCACATAGTGTGAGTACTGTGAACTTTTTCTGGAGTTGTTTCCTTGGCAGTATTCTAGACTCGAGTGTGCATCGACGAGGACGTCGATCTTCCCTAGGGGGGGAGAGTGTCGCGAATGTGACTTCAGGTATCGAAAGTTACCTGTCGGCTAGTCCTTATGGACACTCTTACCTTACTGCCACGATGGCAGAAGGTCGGTATTGCTGGACCTATTATCAGTTTCCCACTTGAGCTAGTTGAGAAACTGGTCAATGACCATTAACTTAGATTGAATAAACATAAGGTAGGAACCCTATGTGTTTTTCTTGTTGAGCATACTTGGCCTGGTTTGAGAAACTTGAGTCATTGGCTTGCACTTGTTAATATCAAGAACCCCCGTGATATTGATATTGGTCCCTCAATATCACTAGATGATAGCTTACCGTGTCTACCAAACACCCTCGCTATCATACCTTTTGTGTTGGTCTCATTTCGGTCCCAAATGCTATTTATGGAAAGTGTCCAAATTTGCTCATTTGGCATATCTACAGAATGTAGAGATCGTCCTGAACACAATGGTGTTCGTCCCGTGTCCAAATTCGCAATCTAGGGACATTCCATATTTAGTAAGTTTCGAGCTTGTCCTAAAGACTAACTCCTGATACTAAGGGAGGCTTGGGGTGAAAGCCCAAAGCGTATGTTCCTCAAGCGGGGGGGGCTGTGGGGGGTTCCAAATGTATAATGGGGATAGTGGGTAAGTCGGGCATGGCCGACCAACCTGAGGCATAGTCTAGCTCCCACTTGCATGCCTGTCCTTGTTCTACGTCCGGCTTGGGTCTAAACCTAAGTTCCATTCCATGCTAGCTGGTGGAGTACCCATGTCCTCGCGTTAGGCCACCGGTATGCTGAGATAGCGCCAGACTCCGCTTGGCTTCGTTTTGCGTGCTGGTCCTGGCATTGGGATGCTAGTTACTCTAGGACTGTTCCAAGTCGCTCCAGGCTCCTGTTCCTTCGCTCCTTGGGCTTTATGCTCGGGAGTTGCTTCGTGGTTCGGTTCCATCACTCCTTGGCTCCATGCTTGGGAGTTTGGCACCGTTCCTTCGTTCAGTGGCCCAAGGCTTTGAACCTCGGGTTCCTATGGACATGTGGCATCTGTCACGTGGCACATAGAGGGTTTAGGTTCCGCTTCGTGGTGTTATCCTATGGTAAATCACCATAAGATAAAGGGTTAAAACCACGTGCGCTACATTTGGTATCAGAGGATGAGTCTCGGCGAGTACTATCCAATGAGATTGGGGAATTAGTCTCATTGCATACGCAGAGATGAAAACGATGATCCGAGTGGGTACACGTTTGGGTGCAAAAAGCTTCGCAATTGGTTCCATGAGTTGTTCCAATGGTTCTATAAGTTGTTCCATGTACCGTGGGTAAAAGCAAACCTTCCCTGAGTTTGCTATGAGTGGCAAATAGGCTGGTCCGTAGCTATTTAGCACAGCACTAATGGATCTTTCCTAGGCATGATTACAAGTGAGTCAACCAAGACTGTAGGGATGAGTCTATTGATTCAAGTAATTGTTGCCATGCTCTCTCATAAACTTTTCTTGGATTGGACTGAAGGCAGTGCGAACGCAAGCTTGAGGTTTAGTCAAAGTTGAGAACGAAAAGAGAGTCGTCGGGGACGAAGGATCAAACACGTAAATCATTTAAAGTGGAGTACTTGGCAACTATCAACACTGTGAAGTTGGTAGTAGATCTCAAGTTTAGGCCAGCCACTTTTGTTAGAGATGTGCAACTCATCATACACTAACTTACTGGAGAATACCAGATCCACAAAAAGAACCTAAAAAATGTTAGGCACCAAGTCAGGATAATAGGATAAAGAAAGGGCCCTACAATCAAGTGATCACCACTTTAACTAGTTAGCTTAGGGTGTAAGGGATAGGATCCTAACATTGGTATCAAAGCCTAATTTGATTTTCGTGACTGATGAGTGGGGCAAGAATATTCTAAAGGAATATTCAACATGGATTTAGAGGGAGAACTAAGGTTTAGTAGACTCTAAAAGAAAGACCATAATGACCGAAGGGTGGCTTAAGTATGATCACAGACAATCATTCCTTAACAAGGGGAGGATTGTTAGGCACTAAATCAGGATAATAGCATAAAGAAAGGGCCCTACAATCAAATGATTACCCCTTTAACTAGTTGGGTTAGGATGTAAGGGATAGGATCCTAACAAAAGAGCTATAGCAGCATGCAATTAATATAAAGAATAAGTCTCTCATATTTCTGTTTGAAGTGTTCCTCATGACAAAAACTTTTGGGTAGACAGATTTACGAGGCTGAGAGAGATGAGCCCTTTAAACCCAAGGTTACTCCAAACTCCAAGGTTTGTGCTATTTTCCTCAGTGATGACAAAAATCAAGTCTTCATCACCACATCACTTACTTTAATAAATGCAGCAAAGATCTTGGATCTCCTTCACTGTTTCAAGGACTTGTTTGCTTGGGACTACAGCCAACTTCCAGGAGTCCCTATGAACACAATTATGCATAGCATTGCGCTTTCTAAGTCAGCCAAACCAATTTGTCAAAAGATGCAACATTTCAGCCTAGCAGCTCATTTGGAAATGAAGTCAGAGATTAAAAGACTTCTTGCAGCCAACTTTATTTACCCTTTGGAGAAATCCAAGTGGGTGGCCAACCTCATCCCTACAAGCAAGGCAAATGGAAAACTCTACCTCTATATTGACTTTTGAGATTTGAACAAGGCAACTATAAAAGATCACTTCTAATGTCATTTATCAATGCGATTGTGGATGAGATGGCTAAACACCGTTACTACTCTTTCATGGATAGTTTTTCAAGGTATAACCAGACCTTCATTCATCCTCACCATCAAGATCTTATAACCTTTCGGACACCTTAGGGTATTTTGTTCTACCATTTGGGTTATGTAATGCTAGAGTTACTTTTCAGCACTTTATGACTCATGCCTTTCTTGACTTGATTGGAGAGGCCTTCAGGGTGTACATGGATGATTTGTGCATGGCCTCTAACTCTTTCAATAGCCACCATTTGCATTGCACTTGGAACAAATTTTCACTTGTTGACAATACAAGTTTTATTTGGACCTAGCAAAGTGTAAATTTGGGATGACTGAAAGCCAGTTGCTAGGCTTTAATGTCTCACAAGATGGGATCAAGCCCTAGACAGCCAAGGCTTATGAGATTTTGGATTAGCTCCTGCCAACCAACTTAAAGCAGCTTTGTGGCTTGATCAAGAAAATGGGTTTCTTTTGCCATTTCCTCCACAAATATGCTACATATTCACAGCCTTTGATAGCTCTGCTACAACACAACATTACATTTGTATGCGGTGAGAGCCATCAATAAATCTTTGATTTGCTGAAGTAGTCACTACACACGGCCCTAGTTCTCTAGTCACTAGAGTGAACACTTCCTTTTGAGATTTACATCATGACTGGAGCACAGGTTTTTGGAGTATGCCTTTGCCAGCATTTAGACCCTAGCAAGCCACCACATGCAACATACTTGCCTCACATTCGTTCAAGAAGATTGAGAATAACTATGTGGATGGATGCGGAAAAAGAAGCAATAGCTATTGTTTACACCTTGGGAGTGATTTTGTCACTTTCTTAATGGAGCTTATATCCATTTTAATGTCTATTTTAATGTGTTAACCTTTCTTTTACAGTGACCAGTTCTAAGAAGGCCATGCTAGATCACTTTGTCCACCACTCAGAGGAGTGAGCTCCGAGAACTTGGGGATTGCAAAGATGAATCAAGCAAAGTAGGTGTTTGTGTCCTTGTAGTATACATATGCAAATATGGAAATCTTTTTTTGGATTGCTTGTCTTGCATGAAGCTTCTTGAGTCCCCCACTGGAATATCCTATTTTGGAATGTGGCAATCCAAGAGTTTTTCACACGCGGTGAAAGCATGTAATGGATCCGAGCAAATTCTTGGTTGCTAAAGTTACCTCCTTTGTGGTCCCAACAACTTTATAGGACATTGTAGCCTACCTAGATTCAAGCAAGTTCCAGTAGGTTCCTCATCAGCTCAACAAAAGGCATTGAAGATCCAAGCATAGGGATTTTGCCTTCATGAAGAAGAATGTGGATGGAAAAGTAATGTGCTGATCTTCTGTCACCAGCCAGAGAGTTTGGCCTTAGATCAATTGATGGTTTCATCTCATCAAGCTTGTAGAGTTCTTCATTTCCAGGGATCCCCATACTTGAGAGATGCATATCACAGTCTATGTATCCCAGCTCTGCCTTGGAGCAAACCAGGTTTCAAGTGCCTGGTTGATGGTGCTGTTTATATGCCCATTGTGGAGATGGTGACCATGTATACCATGTATACTGCAGTATCCATATGTGGAATAATCCACACAGTGCAGAGTCTCTACTTTGAGTGGCCTCTTCAGTCTTGGAAACCAAACTGTAGCAGTCGTGGCCATCATACCACCCGCGTTGAGCCAATCAAGCTACTTTGTCTTTTCCGTGCCATATACAGTACGGAAGAGTTTGTTTCCGTACATGAGTGTTCTAGGGCAAAAGGGTTTACCCTAATTTTCTAAGTCATGGCGGCGTTAAGCGCTGTTTTCGTGTTGCATCCTGCAGCTCAGCCAGCTTTGCTTCGGCATTCTTTGCAATGTAGGGCCATATCTTTGGGACAGCAGCGGAGAGAAGAGGAGTGGAGGGCAGTTCTCAACCCTGAACAGACTCTGCGAATCAAGTAAGTCTTTCCCTCAGCTCTTTCCGGCTCCAATTCCTGCCTGTGTCCTGCGCAGGAGAACAGGAACAGGAAAGCACAATGAGGATGGAGTGCACAACTGTGCTGGCTGCGGAACACCGTTATACAAGTCCACCACTGACTCCGATTGCATCTACGAGGGGCTTCCTGGTGCCATTAACAGAACGGTAATACCAGGGCCTCATTTTGAGCTTGAACATGTTTGTGAGCCAATTCAGGTGGACGCTGAAGGACACAGGATCGAAATAACATGTGCAGCCTGTGGTCGGCACCTCGGCCACGTCTTCAACGGCGAAGGCTTTCCTACACCGACTGACAGCATTTGCCTGAAGGTTACGCCCGGATACGAGTCAGCGGAACTCTTCCCATCCAATGTAGGTGAATATCTGTCTTGCGAATTCTAAAAATCGTCCATACCAGGATGCCGTCAGGATCGTGCTGCAGCATGTGCTCGAGGAAGCGGAGTTATCCATGTTTACTGAAGATGACCTCTCAAGGATGGCAAGGGCTGGTTTTGTTACAGTCCACGCGTTGAAGGTGGCGGCTGAAATTCCTTCGTTCCTGGAACGCACCCTCCCAGGACGTTATGCGCTTCAGGCTTTCATTGTTCGTGCTTTCAAAGCTGAAACATCACGTAAGCGAATGAATCTTTGCAAGCTTTAGTTCAAACTCTTCGTGTTCGCAGGAGATGGCGACCAGGCCCTATCATCATACACCCATCGTAGAGTATTTGGTGTTGGGCACGCCGTGACTCCTGCAAATCATTACTTCGTGCAGCCTGACGTTGACAAGATTGTAGCCGATCTGGAAGTAGGGAGGTACTGTGTGCTGCTGGGTCCGAGGCAGAGCGGTAAATCGACTGTAGCCCGGGCTATCATGCGGCAGCTCAAGAGTGCAGGCGTTGTGTGGCCAGTTTATCTGGGTGGACTAGCAGATGCAAACATCAACTGGACAACGTCAGACCTGTGGAGTACACTCATTCGCTACCTGAAGCTGGCTTGTCCTCAGCACTTCCAGGACGCTGCCGGTTCAGATTCATTGGCTTTCATGTCGCTGTTCCACAATGCAAGGTTGACGACTCCAATTTGCCTACTTCTGGACGAAGCCGATGCACTCCTCAACTTATCTTCGGAGTGCCTGGACTCTTTCTTGTCAACGGTTCGTGAGCTAAAGCAGAGCTTCAACCTTCGATCGTTCCTCTTGATCGGAGTTGAGACAGTGAAGGACCTGATTGACGCAAGAAGCTTGTTGGAGGGCTCCCTCCAGAAAGCAGCAGCAACAGGACAAGGGCCCCGTCCGTTTCCGCAGGATTATTCCGTGATGACGACGGGCTTTGAGCTGCACGACATTGTCGACTTGCTGGAACAGGTGAACATGGATTACAACGGTGCGGTTCAAGATGTGGAGCAGATTGCAGCCTCAATACTGGAGCTTACTTGCGGCCACAAGGGACTTGTTGGCACGTGCTTGGCGTTCGTCCTGCGATTGGAGTTGTTCAGCTACGTAAAGTGGTTGGAACGCGTGGATTCTTATGAGCTGGGGACTTACGTCTTTGAGCAGGACACCTACAGCAGGATTGTAGACAGGTTCAAGATCCGTGCTCGTACTCCTGATGGCTACAAACTTCTACTTGGCTTCCTGGAGAAGGTGGAAAGGCGTTGTAACCTTCATAAAGTCCGTGACTTGCTTGCAGAGGGTGTTTTGGCTGTGAAGCGGGTAAATGCAGCTGGTGATTACTATGTGGGGATCTCTTCCCCATTGTTGCTGATGGCCATGTTGAGGGAGTGTGAAATCAGGAGTGACAAGGTGCAGGGACCGCCCAGCCAGAGGAAGTTGGATCACAAGTGGTTGATCGTCCAGGTTGTCCAGACAATGGACATGAAAGCGTTGCAAAGGCTGGAGAGCAAGAACTCGGATGGGCCATCCGAGTATGTTTACCAATTTGCCTTTATGTGTAGGCTCAAAGCAGTGTTGCGGCAAGCATACCCACAACGTCACTTGGTCGTCCTTCCAGAGGTAAGGGAGAAACTTGGGGCGAAGAGACGGAAATCTCAGAGGTGCCTTGACACGCTTGTAACGAATGGTGGTGCAAAGTTTGGGTTTGAATTTCAGGTGAATGGTGACAAAAAGAGTCTGTCAGACCACCATGAAAGGGCAAAGACTTACAACAAGCAGCACTCGGCTCAAGTCTTTATGATAAATTTCTCCATAGACAAGCAAGCTGAGGAACTGACGCCAGACAATGGAGGAGTGATGTTCGTTGGAGTTACTTTCGACACCAAGAGTGAGACTGTGGTGGTATGTTTCATAGACTTTGGAGGACGCAAGCAGGTCTTCCATGCAGCTGTCAGGAATTGGGATGGTAGAATTTCGTTCGAGTGACAAGTTTCACCATCAAATAGCTGACCTGATTTAACTGTTTGCTGGACGTCAGCTTTTGGGTAACTGCTTCAGGTCTCTGAACTCCGAGTTCCTATCAACTCCTGTGACAGGGCATGTAACAAAATCCACTTGCATACTTTGTCTACTGCTGGACGATACTAAGTAAAACATTTCAGACTATTCAACATCAGTCAGTTTCCGTTCCTTGTTTTGTACTTCTATGCATTGTCCATGGGATGGACCTCCAAAATGGAATAAACAACATTGCATCCTCTTATACCTCTTATAACTACCATGAGAGACTTGGAAATAATGAAGAAACGATAAACAATATCTCAATGGAAAGAAAAGTTTAGTAACTAATCTGGAAAAAAGAAAGAACTTTAAAAAAATAAAACAAGCAATAAAATGTAAAAGCCATATATGCAGCTAATTACATTAGATAATAGGATGTATCACTATAAAGAAAAGGATCTTATTAAGGATTACATACAGCTTCTAAATGCAACTAGTTAGGAGCTCTGCATACGTGATCGGTAGATCCATGGTTTGGTTAACTTATTTTTTATGGGAAAATTGATTTCATCTTCTTTAATCTTCCCAATGGGATGCCACTAATGCATAAGGATACTCCCTCATAGAATGTGTTCCAAGCCCAACACATTTCCTAAACCTTACAGGTTGTGAGTAGCTTTATGACATATGAAGGCATGGTTGTCATAATCCTTCCCCTCTGTCTAATGTGGGAAGGCTTTCTTGCACACTTGGCTAACAATGATGATGAATTTGTGGAGTTTTCATTTGGCTGCCTTGTTTTGAGTATAGCAATGGACACAAAAGGCTCTAGTGGGTAGAAGCATAAAGTGTGTGATTTCTTTATTTATAAATTAACTCCTTTCTATTTGTTTTCCAAGTTTATTTTTGGAATTACCATGCTCTATATCATATTTTAGAACTGTTGTAAGGCCATACAAGCTGATAAGTGTGCTATTCTTGCTTTACTAAGATACAACAACTCTATAAATATGATCCTGAATGTGATTTACTTGAAGGTTTTTCATTGAGTGTTCCTTGGCTCTCAACATTATTTGGTCATGGTTATGTAAATCTTGCTAGAGTTATTCTGTCCTCTAAAAGGGATTGTGCTTGATGCTACGGCAGAGTGTACTTTTGAAGATATTCTTGGGAGATTTTGCCATAAGTGATGTTAGTGTTTGAAGTAATGTATAATATTTATTCTCAAATAGTTCTATATCCTGAGGTTCACATTTGTCATACGAAGTGTTTTAGTCCACATGCTTGATCATGATGATATTGATGATAATATGGACTAAAGTCAATTCAATTTACCTGTTTATGCTAGACACATGGCACAACATTACATACAACATGAGCCTATGGTGAGGTAGCATTCTACTATACCCATTCTTTCTTTTCTAGACATAGAAGCAGAAGAAGACTAAATATGTTCTGATTTTAATATTAATTATAGATTATTTTCTTTCTTTGTAGACAAAAAGATTGCCAAACAAAGAATCTATGTAAGTTTATGGAATACCTTAAAGACCAAAATTTTGAGCTAAAGGCCTTGGTTCGGGACAAACCAAGATAGTGCTATTAAACATTAGCTAATTAAGGGATTGTATTGACTTCCTTTAACTTTATTTGACTTCTATTGACTTGAGCTCAACTCAAAAACTACTCAACCCCTTCTACCAATAAGTAGCATAGAGGTTTCCACTTGCCCTAAAATTTGCCAATCTTTTTTTGAATTAGGAAAAGGTTCTTTTGGAGGTGGTTTTATTGCACAAAGGCTAAGTTGACAAAATGTGTTATAGCTGTCATGAGGCCTTAGTCTCCCTCAAAGGGAATTGTTTCATAGCATTTAGTTATATCCCCAGTATAGATTGTTGTGATTCTATCGGGAAGATTTATTGTAAATTCTTGTGTAAATTCGAGGATCCAACATGCATTTGTCTTCTCTTCAAAGAACTTGGCCCATGCATAGAAATCATCAACTATGGTTTTTAGTGCCTCTTATATCCCTTTTAGGATAGCTATTATGTAAATTGTTATTTTCGAAAACACACATTTATCCACGTTCGTTAACCATCACATTTGGTTCTTATGCACTTTGTAGATTCCTATAAGGTATGGGAGTTTTGATCATTGAGGTGGGAATTCTTGTAGAAGTGGTCTTCGAACAATTGTTTCACAATTGTTTCAGGTGTTTTAGAGATATTATTATTTTGAAACTGCAAGTGAGAAGTCTTCACTATCCATCCGTGCAAGTGCTTCTCCCCGGGCTAACTCTTTGCAAAAGAAAATAGGCATATTGTCTACTTTATCAACTCCACTGATATATAAATGTTTATGTACCCATTCTAATTGCCATTGTGCCTCGGGGGGCAATTTTGCAATGCCAATCTAACCCAGTAGTTTATATACTACTTAACAGCAACTCCATTGCTTGGCCAATTCTAGATATACACCAGGATGATATTGAACCAACATTTTTTTATCTTTCAAATTTTGATTTAATCTATATTTTCAAAGTAAATTTGACCAATAAAATACAAATATAAATATAGTCCTAACAATAAAAACTTTTCAAGCTCCACAATTGTAAAGCTTGCCTAGTAGATGTGATGGTCAATCTTAGGATCTTGGTTTGATTCTTGCATAAAAATGTAATAAATGTGCTTGTAGGCTAAATATGTTCTCCCTCTGTGTAAAATTTAAATAAGTACAAGATGGATTTTAATAGATTCTAACAGTGTAGTTAGGCATTACTGGCGGGTACCCTTTGACAATTTAGTCATAACTACAAACTCTTTAGCCATAGCATTGATGTAGTTTATCCTTGTGATTGTGCACTTCAACTCCACCAACTTGACTTTCTTTTGTGCACCTTTTGAAATGAAAGATTTATATTGTATAGCCTTCCTATTTCTAGCTAGTCATGTATGCTGGTCTAATGTTGACATTGGTGGCATAGTAGTATTAACAACAATATTTGAGGAAGTCTTTAGCTTGAAATCTACTCTCTCAAGACTTTAAGTCTCTTCTTTCAAAAGATTATAGCTTCACTCAACTAGCCATTCTTCTAGCACAGAATATGGCTTCAAGATGATTGAATTGTGGATCCAGCTTGTATGAGTAATATTAGTCCCACAATAGTAAATCTAGCTTGATTGACAACCCTTTACCCCTAGATCTTGACAGCCCCAAAAACATGATACTGCTAAAAAACTTGAATTTAAGCACACAAATGTAAAATATTAACCTCAACTCCCAATCATTGCATTGCTCTTAATATTGACTCTTCAAATTGCCCAATTGATATGAGAAACTAGCTTATAAGTAATAATCTTCTCAACCTCTGGCACTAGATTTATTTGCATAACAACTAACACCTCCTCCACTCCATGTTCCTTAGTTCTTCTCCAATATTATGGAATATAATGGTAGTCAAACTCTGGATAGTGAAAGTTGGAAGGAGTGATGTTAGGTGTAAGGAACCAACTCCCCGAGGTGTCGTAAGCTAAAGGATCCCCGAAAGCATGACCAAAATGATAAAGAGTTTATCGGATGGGACCGAGTCCGAGATCGAGTCCAAGACCGGCTCGGAGACCAAGTTCAAGATAGAGTCCGGAATCGAGTTCGAGGTCAACTCGGAGACCGAGTTCGAGACTGAGTTCGAGACCGAGTTCGAGACGGAGTCCGAGATCCGAAATCGGGTCCAAGACCGAGTCCGAGGTCGGGTCCGAGATCGAGTCCGAGACCGAATTCGAAGTCGGATCTGAGATCGAGTCTGAGATCGAGCTAGAGACTAAGTCCAAGTACTAATACGGGTCAAGGGGTGAAAGCCCAAAGCGTGCATCTCCCAGGGGGGGGGCGGGGGGGGGGGGGGC